CCTGCATATTGACTGACAACCCGTTAACTGGTGGCTATGAACCGAGGCTGGTCGTCAAGGCAGCCACAGGAGATTGTCCTGCCCGAGACTCGTTCCTGGACACTGCTGGAAGTGGGAATCAGGAATCTAAATGTACTTGAAGGCCTTCAGGTGAATGTGGGTAATCAGACATGACCTGAAACCACTGCTCTTGCTCTAAACCTTTAAATCACCCTGTGATCTTGTGTTCATAAGCTCAACCCCACTTTTTTTTTTTTCCTCGTAGTTATTTTTCTCCTCATGGGTTTCAGTTTGAGTACACTTCATGAAGTCATCTGTAAGCTGATCTTCAGAAGGTAGGAATAAAGCTCTTTCTGTGTGACATCATCCCCAAAGCAAGGATCTTTTTCCTTGTGTGTGATGTCTCCACCCATGCTTATTTCAGTATGACTGATCATGGCAAGCTTGTGAAATCAACATGTTGGGCTACATATTTATTTTATAAATGCAGGGCAAGTCAGGCATGCCAAATGGCAGTGTCACAATCCTTCTGTTCTCTGCCAACCTCTCGCCTTATGGACTCAAATATGTTGCTCCCAAAGCAGATGGCTCTCCCCGCTCTTCAGGTTATTACATAAGGAGGTGAGGGACGAGGGATTTAGTACTACGCTTGACTTCCAGTGAGGACTATTAGCATGATGCATGCGACAAAGACCCCAGGCATAGAGAGAAAGCTGAGTGTCAGGGCCAGGTATACCTTAACTTCAGTCTTGGCTCTGTTTCCTTTTTGATAATGAAACCTCAGGAACTCACCTGATTTGGCCTCTATTTCCTCTTTTGAAAAAACAGACAAACAAAACCAGAGATAGTCATATCTCCTTCATATGCTAGCTGAGTAATGTATATATAAAGAAACTGGCAAATAGAAAAAACACTATCAAAATCTGTATTTGAGGAATGTATGTGAAAAACAGGAGTCCTCTTAAGTTTCTCTCTCAATAACATTTGCTCTGAATTTTAGAGGTCACCTAAAATGATTTGATATAGGCACAGGTCAGCAATCTTATTCCAGGAGTCTGAGAGTAGTTATTACAGCACGACGACACACAGCCCAAAGTCCACTGACTTTAAAAAACTAACTTCTTAACTTACTTGGGATGTAGAGTGACAGAAAGTAAGAGAATAGACACGTAGCTTTTCCATCCCTAAATGCTCACAAAGGATAGGTGTGGGCCAGGCAAAATCAGGAACCAGGAACTCATCTGAGACTTATATATTGGTAGCAGGGCCCCACATACCTGAGCCTTCATCTGCCCTCTCCAGGCACCTTGGCAAAAAGCTGTATCAGAAGCAGGGGCAGGACTTTATACCAAGAATTTCAATATGAAATGCATTCATCTCAAGTGGTAGCTTAGCCGGCTATGTTAACAATCCTTGTACCAAAACCTCCATTTTTTAAAAAGGATAATGTTCATCTGATTTTCCATCTAAAGACACCAGAATCTGGCCTAATGATCCATGTATATACATGACAATATCTATACATACATTTTGAGGTTGGGAGGAACCTTAGGACTTTAAAAGAACACAAGTTAATTAGATGAAAATTACTAAACCTAATCATTGGAATATGAACTATATAAGAATATTTAAAGAATTAATTTTAGTATATTTAGGTAAAACCAATAACCAAAATAAATAATGTGGAATTCAGAGTCATTTCCATGTTCACTCCAAAAGAGCAATTAAGAAAATGACAACAATGATTATAATAATAGTCCAATTAACATGTAGCATCATTCATATTCTACCAAGCATCGTGTGTGCCCTCATCCTTGTCTTTTCAGACAGGGCGGCTTTTGTTTTATTTTAACTGGAGCCCTTACATGGTTATTTTCAAACTTGCAGATGTAAGTTTTTCAGTGTTCATATCAGCACTCCTTGAATCCCACTTGATGGTGTTACTCCATCTCTGACATGCTCTCTGTACTGGACTTGTGTAATACATGACATATGATGCCAATGAAAACATGACTGATGCCCATGTATGGACAAGTCAGAAAGACTGGTGTCCTATGGAGCAACTTCTAGTAATCACAGAAGTGCAGTTGGTGGACAGATACAATGCTTTTTCTTCTACCAATAATGCAGAGGCACATTCTATAAGGCATCTTTTTATGAAGTTCATGGCAATGCATAATAGGGCAAAAGCTATACATACATTTAAAAATATTTTTACATCCAGAAAAATCTTACCTTCTAATTTTGACAAAGGAGTTGAAACATCCTCATGTATGGTCCCTCAGAAACCAAGTCCCAACGGACTACAGCTATGACCAGGGAATTAATCAACCCTTACTTTAACAAACTCTCCTTTTCTATTCCTTCACCAGTCTTCCAGTTGTGGCCCCTGAGATTATAACACCGGATCAATTACTTTTACAGAATCTGTGTTTCATACTCTGCTCTCTAACAAGCAGCCAGGCTAAGAGAGTGTCCCTAAGGCCTAACAGTGAACCAAGCAAATGTGCTCAATGTGTGAGCTTATGTCTAACAAGGAAAAATTTGGCTTTACCACAGTAAGTACCATGTCTCTCCTTGTGTTCTGTATTTCCTCCCTATATTTTTTCCCTGCAGTGACAGAAAAACCACTATGTCCCTTGACACAATGGGGACAGTGCTGCCATTCAATTTATGCTCTTATGTTGGGGTCAAGTAAAAAAATTTTTTTTCCTTGGCCCAAAATGTAGAGATCATGACCCTTCCCAGATAATTCTATTCATCTCTCACCTCCACTCTTGCATAATTAGCCATGAAGGCTTCCTAAGGGACTATTTGTCCCACTAAGTCATACTGCTTATGTGGATTTTCCCAAAGCTGAAGCTTCCCAAATCTATTTTCTAAACTTTCCTCTTTCACTACTCAGTAAAACAAGAATGTTTCTTTTCATAATTTTCACTTAGTGTGGCTTTTCCTTTAAGGTAGATAATAGCCAAAAACCACTCATACTTGGAAAATTACAGCACAAAGAGATACATTCGGGGCAAAACTCTTGACCTCTTTGTTTTCCTACTGGAGGACTTCTCAAGACCCATTCTCTTTGATCTGCACTGAGCCAGAGAGAGTGTTGCCTTGGTTGTGTGTGTATGTTTCCATATACCTATAGCTGTGGGACTTTTCCCTTGTATAGCTCTTATGGTTGGTTAAGAAGAGTCTGCCAGTTCAAAGAACGGAGTACTCCCCACCCCGGATTCTACCACATGTTGGGGGCTTCTCTAATAACCTACATTATCATCCAAAACATCTTTCATTCTGCAGTGCAGTTAGCTCTGATCCCTGCTTTTAAATGGCCATATGTTCTGGTCATTTTTTTTTTTTGTCACCATTTCTTCCTCCTTCCAAAAAGGTAGTGAACTTTCTCCTAGACGGTTTTATCTTGTTTCATCTCTCAGTATAACCTCAACACTCCCTTTCTTTAGCATATAAAATCACAGATGTAAACTTTGGAATTGTGCTAGATTCTAATCCCAGTTCTACTACCTGCTGTCAGGGTCACTTTGTGTAGCTGTTTCTACCCTACTGTGATACCCTCTGTAAAATAAAAACATGAACTTCACAGAATCACATAATATTTGCCAAGAAAATGTAATATGCACACTATACACTCCAACAAATGATTCGTCCCTCACTTCTCACAGTTACTCCTTTACTTTCTGGGAAATATGATCTGTTACAACTAACCCTAGCTGCTCATTGTGGCTCAATCTACTTTTTCCAGCCAACTCTTTTTTCTTCTTCTTCTTCTTTTTTTCCCCTGGATATCATTCTCATCCTGTTCCAGCCCACCCTTTGGCCAGTTTCCAGTGAATGTCCCTGGCCTTTCACACAATAGTATGCTATTGTGTGAGTTATCCATTGTGAGCAAACGCTCACTGTGACACGGTTTCTGGGAGTTAGGCAGCCAGGAGCACCTTAGCTTGTTGATTCTGCTCAAGGTTTCTTACAAAGCCAAAGTTAAAAACACTTGGCTGGGGCTTCAGCCTTCTCAAGGCTATATTGGGGAACAAAATGAAAACAGCACCTGCTATAGTTCCTATGTCAGCAACCAAGCAAACTGACCCCAAACTATCGCTAGCACAATGCATACTGGTCTCCCTACTGAGGGTTTATCACCTGGCTGTCCCCACTCAGACGAGTCTTGGATCTAGGATTGGATCGGATCAGTCTACTAACATTGGGACCTAATGGCTACAAGCATGCAAAGACTTTAAATGTTTCATTAAATGTCTTTTGCCCTATTTCCATATGGATGCCACTGCAGTGGAGTCAGGATTTTCCTCCTGCAGCCCATTTGTGAGTATTCCCAGAGGTGATACGCAACTTGTGGGAATGTAATTCTACATAGACTGCAACATGTTTAAAGAAGACTTAAAGTTACAATCCCCATATCGATGTGGGAAGATAGCACTAACTGTGATGCTATTTTCTGTTATATTCCTCCAAATACATTCCTTGGTGTTCTATGCTGTGAAAGGTTTGGCTGCATGGGCTTCATCACCTTCACTTTGGATAGGGTCAAGCTAATTTGAAGCTCTGGAAGGGGATCAGAAGGATAGTAATGAATGGGGTTAGAGTGTTTATCCTCTGGCTCATGCTTAGCCAGCATACAGAATTAACTGTGTCCCCCTACCAAATGCCACAGTATGCGTCAAGAGTCCACTCTGCACAGCTATCCACACCAGTTTCCTGTGGCCACTGCTGCCCTAGCCCATTTAAACCTGGAAGTGGCAACTGCCCTACCACTTTAACTAGCTCCCAGGTGCTTCATTACCACTTTGTCCTTATAAAACACGCTCCCAACTTTGCAAATAACCTTTATTAAACTTCCCTCCATTAAGTAGCTTGAATATGTCACCTATTTCCTGCCAGGACCCTACTGTGAAGAGGCTGGTTGTAAACTGCACAGTCTCCCAAGGATATCTACAGGTATACATTAACTATAAAGTGCACTCACAAGTAATAAAAATAGTTGACTACTGAATTAATCAGTTGTTAGTTGCATGAAATAGAGTGACTGATTAAACTTTTTACTTCCAGGAAATCTATGGAAACATCATTTATTACAAAAGCTACAAGAACTGAGTATAATCCAATTGAAGATAATCAGTAACAAACCTAGAAAAAGTAGTTCATGTTTTATGACATTAATTTGTACTGAATTCTGAGTGACAAGCATAGTCATTCTCTGTGTTATACTATTTATTCCACTTGAAAGATTCAAAATATAAAGTTTTAGGGAGACATACCTCAACCAATACAGAATCCGGAACCTGCATGCCATTCAAGTTGTCTTAGTTGGGGAACAACTAAGAAGTAACAACAATATATATTTTTTTCATTCATATGGAACACATTTGCTAGTTTTTGTTAGTATAGTAGGGTGTTTAGAATCATGAAATATGTCACCAAATGTGAGACTTCTGTTTATTCTAAGCTTAACAGCTAATTTAAAGGGTGTCCTCAAATATAAATGATTATGATCTCACCAAACACACCACACACCACACACACACACACACACCCCACAATTCTAACTCTAGTGTTAACAATTCCTCGATTTCGAAATGGTTCATCTCAGTTCTTACAATGCTTCTTATAGATCAAGGCTGTGTTCTCACAATCTGGAAATACAAGATTTTTCTCTGAATCAGTTGTTGTTTTGGAAGAGTATACACAGCTTGTGTGAAGGAAGAAGACTTATCTAGTGAAGCTCTGAGCATTTAGCCAGCTGCTTCGTTTCACTCCAGAGGTGTTTGCCTTGACAGATGGAGTAATTTCCAAATGGTTTTCAATCAGAATATGCTAGACAAGCGATTGAGAATTATCTCTGAAGGAAAATAAATGGGAAAAATAGTATTTAACCATGCTGTCCTATTAGTTTATTTTTTTCTGCACCTGCTATGAAATAGTTGCTACAAAAAAAAACACTACAAGGATGTGAAATTCTATGAAATAGTTCATATCTAAATTGCTATGAAATAGTTGCTACAAAAAAAACACTACAAGGATGTGAAATTCTATGAAATAGTTCATATCTAAAGCTATTTATTATCATAGAAATTTTTAGTGTTGGATCATTCTTGTTAGTTTTTCTAGTCATTTTTTTTTCTTGAAGAGAAAGCATATTTGCCTACAGCACAGTTTTTGGCCAATTTTAACTGAGGCTTTTTTAGAAGACATCTCATTCTGTTTTTAAGTGCAACAAATAATTCTGGTGTTAACAGGATTTGTAATTTGATGTAGCAGATAAGGCCACTCTCTGAAACAGTGTTGTCCAATATGGACGCCAGTTCATATCCTAGCTGATCCAGTTCTGATCCAGCTCCTTGCTAGGGCCCGGGAAAAGCAACAAAAAAGATGACCCAACTCCTTGGGGCTCTGACTCCTATATGGCAAACAAGGATGAAGTGCCTGGCTTTTGCCTTCTTCCCAACCATTACAACCATCTAGGGAGTGAACAAGCTGATGGAGGATCTCTCTATATATATATCTCTGACTTTCAAAATAAATAAATAAATCCTAAAAAAACAATATTTGTAGAAAAGTTTAAAACAAATCCTACAAGAACACACCATGGCTGTTTTATATGTCCGTCGTTCACTTAAATTTTCACTTAATGTTGAACATATTTTTCAATCTTAATTCCTTCATGCATGGATTAGAGACCATTTTCCTTTTTCCAGAAGCATTACTTCAGAATTCTTCGCTATACTGACGAATTGCTAGGAATGAACTCTTAAATATTTTCCTTTCCTCTGCCTGAAAACATTTTTATTTCACATTCAATCATGAGGAACAATGTGTGAACATGGGCAGTTATTTTGAGTGCTGTGTCAGTATTCCCCTGTTCTCTCTGGCTTCTGTGCTGTTGATAAACTAGTTGTCAAAACAGTTTTCACTATTTTGAGGTCAGGATAGACTCTGCCATATACTTCTATACTCCCTATTAAAGGTGGAGACATTTTACCCTCAGATGCTTACAGTGCTGGCAGAGGAGTATGCCCAACTCTCAACCTTAATAGAAGCACCATTCAACTGAAGAAAGCAGGATCTTCCACCAAGTTCATGTGCCAGTTGAGTAAGAGCTCACATCTGAATATATACCTGACTCACAAACCAGTTAACATAAAAGATTGGCAGCTTGGGATAGGGTGGGGGGCTCAGCAGTTGCAAGACTAGGCATTAGCCCTGGTGCAGGGGATCTGCCAATTGTACTCTGGGAACATAGACTCTATGCTATCAGCTCTATTAGTGGTAAGAAAGGGTGCAAAGTCTTACTGGGGCTTGGTATGTACATTCCAATAAAAAGATGTGTTTTAGAGTTCTGAAACCAGGCTAATGCTTTTGACAGCAAAGACACGCTTTTCTAAAAGTTGCTCAAGTGTGGTATTTGGTTCTACAAACAGCTAAGTGTCTGACCATGAAACTAAAGCCACCACAAGGTTTATAGTGGCCAATAGGTGCTGGTTCTGCCAGACATACCAAGTTAAATAAGCCCAGAAGTAATCTATCGTAAGCTGGGAATGTAACACCTGAGATCAAAGCCAAGATAGCCTAGAAGTACCAATGTAATGCACAAGAAGATAGACTCATGTCACCCATCATGATTCCATTAGTAACTCTTCTTATAGCAAGCTGATATGGGAGAAAGGAAACAAAATTGGTTAATGGAGAGATTATCTCATTGCTCTGACTATGAATCAGTATGTAAAATTCAGCCAAAATGGATTTTGGCCAACCTGTATCTCCACTCACTGATGATCCTAAAGAAGCAATCTATGCAGGGAAATTCCAGATTGTCAGGAAATACACCTGATCTTTTTTTTTTTTTTTACACCTAATCTTTACGTGGAAAGGGAAATGTCTTAATAAATGATATATAAAGACTAAATAGTTCATCTTGCCGGCCAAAGACTTGGAAGAACTGTAAGATCAGAGATAGGAAGGTGATACAGAAATATGTAAGTAGAACTTTGATGATGAAAGAATAGTTTCTCATTTTCATTTGCAGGAGCTATGGACATTGGTAGAATACACTAATACATCCCCACATGCCTGGCTAATGCAGTTCAGGCAGACATAGTAAAAACAATGACATGCCAAAAGACCAAGCAGATGTAGTAGGTACCTGAGAATGTGGAATAGAACAATCTGATCTCCCTTAATCCCTGCATGACAGTAACTTCCTGGGATGGATGGAATGAAGTAACAGCACAGAGTAGGGAAACAGCCTTTTCCGTCAATGGTTTTAAATCCTGCATGGAACTAACACGTTTTTTATTGATTGATGTTTTTATTTTTAAATTAAGTTTATTTATTTTATTATTTTATGACACACTGCCATTGGCTCTGGGATTCCCATCCCTCCGTCCCCAAATCCTCACCTCCCCAATTAATTTCCCCTATATCATTACAAGAGTATAGTCCTTCATAAACAGCCATCATTCTGCTATTCAAGTGTATCCTGACATTGTAGGTATGGTCATCAGTAAAGAGTCTAGCATCATATGGTCAAGATATATCCAACGGTTTCATTGGGAATCCATCTTTGATTTGGAAGTAGAGATGCACACTACATTGTATCTTCACATCTCGATATGATAGTCTCTATTCCACAAGTTATAATTCCTTATGGCTATCTTATAAAAAATAAAGTAAAATTTATTTTATTTTATAAAAATAAAATTAAAAAGTGCAATAGATTTTCAATATCAGTAGAAACAGAGATACTGGGGCTTAGTTGAACTCCACAATAGAAAAGGTAAAGTTATAGTTCTGAAAAGCTGAGTTGTGCCTTTTTTTCAAAACATAACACAAGTGGCCCCTTAAATCCATGTGGGTTCCTGATAAGCAGCTTTGAGCTTTTCCTGGGATTAAACTCAATTAGTCATCTTGATGCATTCTGAACCACAGGGGTAGGAGAGTTTAATCAAGAAGGAAAACCTAAATTCACTTCATTTACAAAAAGTACAGATCCACTATATGCTCTACAGCTTACGGCCAGCATTCGTATGTCTCCAAAGATCACCCTTGCACAATATGGCATAAATGCAAAATTATTAAACTTATTGCAGATGACACCAGTTCACCAGTTCCTCAGTAAACTCAGAATTACTGTGTGTCATCACAGTCATCTCCCAGCCACTTACCGAAGATAGCAGAGTCGGTGCTCAACCAGAAATCTGTGCTCAGATATTCATAGCTGTACCATTCATCATTACCTAAGGGGAAAACAACCCAAACATCCATGAACAGATGAACTCATAAACAAGATGTGGTATATTCATAATGTGGAATATTATTCAGCCATAAAAGGACTGAACTATGGACCCATGATATAATATAAAGCATGAATATATGCTAAAAATGAAAGAAGCAAAGCAGGCGATTTGGTCTAACAGTTGAGATACCCACATCCCAGAGCAGAGTGCCTGAGTCAACTATCAGTTCAGGCTTCTGATTCCTGTTTTCTGCTAATGCACACTTTAGAGGCAGCAAGTAAGGGCTTCAAAAGCTGGGCTCCTGCTTCCCATGTGGGAGACCTGGACTGAGGTCAAGCTCCCAGCTTCAAGCCCAATCCACAGAGGGGAGAGGAGAGTGAATCCGCAGGTGGCAGCTTGCTGCTTCTCTGTGCATCTCCATCTCTCTTATTCTCCCTCTCAGAATAAATCAATTTTTAAAAAATAATAAAATTGACAGACATAGTTACAAAAGGCTACACTTGTATAATCCCATTTATTTGAAATACCAACAAATCCAGAAGACAGATTGGTAGTTTCCAGGGGCTAGAGAAAGAGAAGAATTGAAAGAAATTGTTTAATGAGTAAGAGGTCCCTTTGGAGCTAATGAAAGTTCTGGAACTGAATGGCAGTGATAGTCACATAATTTAATGAATATGCTTAATGTCACTGACTGGTTCACGTTCAAATACTGGAAATGGCAAGTTTTATGTGCCTGTATTTTTCTACAACAAAAACATTCCCCAAAACTCAAAGTACAGGTACTTCCCTTCAGTAGTAACTGAAGCCAGTCAGCAGTTTCTCCAGGCCAGTGGGAGGCAACCCGAGACTGATTGCAGTGAGTAAAGCTGGTCAGCTGTTTAACAAGGAAAACACCTGGCACTGACTCCTGAGCTCTTTAAAGAACTGCTCACTAAGCCTCTTCCCCAGGGTAAATTCTAAGAGAAGTGCTAGGAGTATGAGCTTGCCAGATTTGTGTGGGCCACACCCAGCAGCTAATAAGTTGTTCCAAACTCTACATGCTCCAGCTTAATAACCAGTTCATCTGCTAGTTGGTAGGTTCCCATAATCATGTGGTTACTCAAATGAGGACAGAGAGAGTCACTAACAATTTGGAGATGAGACAGAGTCCAGAAAAGGAAGCAAAGTCATGAAAATACAAATTTAGCTTGAGGTATTCCACGAACACAAGGCAGAGACCTAGAATTAGGGTTTGTTCAAGATTTCAAAAATCAACCAAGCAATGTTGTCTCTGAAATGGAGATATTTCATTAGGAAATATCTCAAGTAGGGGCTGAACTCCATGTGTGTGTACAAGGAAATTGATCAAAATATTAAAAACTTTTTAGAATTTATAGCACAAGATTCTTCGTGACAATGGTCAGAATATAAAGCTGAATAAGCTAATCTCCAAATAGCCAGGGGTGGAAACTATAGCATTATCTGCCCCAAAATGGCAGTTAGGAGTGTCAGCCTCTAGGTCGTAATGAGCCCAACAGTCAGCAAGAGGGAAATGTAAATAGAAGTACTGGGAGAGGCAGGGGCCAGTTAATGCGAAAACCCTGTAATTCTGAATTTTCTTCTGAGACAATAAACAATATGGCAGCGTTTTACGCAGGAAAATTGACACTATATAATTCCGTAAATGATTGCTCTGTCCAGTTATGGGGTGGAAGATGAGCAGATTGAAGGAATCTGTGGAGATAAGCAAGAAGAGTTGGCGAGAAAAGCTAGATGATGGTGGTTGGACCAAGGCCCACAGAGAACCAGAAGTGGATAGATTCAAAATATGTTCAAAAGTCAACCATTTGCAGCAAAATGGTCCCAACTAGAGACCATTAGGCGTAGTGAAATAAGCCAATCCTCAAAGGAAAGACATCATATCATTCTCTCTGATACAAGGCAACTGTCAAAATACAAGGTGAGCAGATGCATAGGTAAGCACGCATATACATATTTTCATCTAGAAGATCTATAGTGAAGGCAAGTATATAAAGATGTGGAGACACATTGCTGTATGCATATCTACTCCTGAATAAAAGATGGACTTCCAATGAAACTGTTAAATATATCTTGACAACAGAACGCTGAACTTTACACAATTTTCTATACCTACAATATCAAGATACACTCAAATAGAAGAATGATGGATTTGTGATTGTTGAAGGATTAACACATTGTTACAATATAGGGGAAAATGGAGGGTGGAGCATGCAGAGCCTAAGGAACTCTATCATGAAAAATAAAGAATTAAAAAAATGTGCTCAGATAAAAAAGAATCAAATCTTATCTCTCGCAACAAAACAGCTGCAACTGGAAACCATTTTGCTTACTGAAATAAGCCAGTCTAAAAAAAGACAGATATCATGTTTTCCCAAATATATGGTAACTAATATAAAGAGTATAAAGAAGTATAATGCTAATAAGCAAGATTGATGCTCTGAGATGTGATTATTATTTACAGCTTTTGTCTGTACTCAAGGAATAATGGAGCCATTGTACTTGCAGTGGAGTTTTTGTACTTGCTATTTGTTTAATTCCTTAACTAATGGAGTTTGTTAAGCCTGTAATTGAGAAGTGAACAGATTCTATGCCAATGTAAAAATAAGAGAGAGAGAGAGAGAGAGAGGAAGAGAGAGAGAGAGAGAAAGGAAGGAAGGAAAGAAGGAAGGCACAGACAGGAGATAGGGTAGGGTCTGAAATATCACTATGTTCCTAAATCTATACTGTGAAATACATGAAGTTTAATTACTTTATGTAAATGAAATGATTTAAAATATTTTTAAAAACTCTGTTCTGGACTAGAGTCCAGAGGAGTGCTGATGGAACAGAAGAAATGGAATGTCTGACGGAGGAGCAAAGGAGAGGTGTCAAGAGTGACTGATAGAATAAAAGGAAGGCCACAGCTTCTGAACTATTACAAAAACCAAAACTACTGCCATACAGAAGAAAATCTAGCGTGCACCAGTCCTTCATTATGACAAGGTTGCACTATCCAGCCCAGGAAAAATATCACAGTGGATTTTTAAAAATTAATAATAGTGCATAAGCGTTATTCCTGTATTTGTTATTCTTTGTACCCTTCTGCCCTCAGTGGTTTATAAAATCCTCTAGCTCTAGTTCTCTCTTAGCTCGTTTGCCTTTTTTTGTTTGGTTCCTCTCTAATTGATGCATAATAACTCCACCCACTCACACTGTGCCTTGGATTCTCCTTACTTTCTGCGCAATATGTGACTCTCCTTTTTCCTCCCTGACAATTACTGCTAAATGTCTTTGGTTGCCTAGGTTTCCTGTGGCTTCACTCTTAGCCTTCTGATCTATTTTCACTCCTCTCCACAAATGCCTCTAGATGATGTATGCTATTCCAACCATGTCAGTTATTTTGTCTGCATTAACCGTCTCAAATTCTCTAGTTGCAACAATAACCTTTGCCTAGATGCTCCAAGTAGTGGTTAAAACCGTCTCCATTCTCACTTCAATTTCCAGCAGGCACATTCATGAACACAAGTCTGAAATAAAATCTCAGCCACTCATTTCCTTCTCCTGATTTACTGTTCCTTCTCCAAGTTTAGTACTTCCATCAATAGTACCAAACTTATCAGAATGTCTCACCTTAACTTCTTATATTCACTTTTTTTCTTAATTTTTTCTTTTTTAGACAAATATTTCTGAAACTTCTGTTATGGCCCAGAGCACTGTACAGGCCCTGAAAGTTTTACTCCTTGATCTCTTTCCCCAGGCTAATCCTATGTTATTATTAATGTTCCTTTGTGGCTTGTCCCTTTGCAATACCTCTCAAATTCATTACTTACAGTTTATTAGTTTTCTTGTTTGCTACTGCTCATTTGCTAATTTTTCATCACATTTCTTACTACTCTTACTAACCAAGCTGAAACACTAGGCTATAGCGATGAGTATATTATTTCTTCCTTAAGAATCTCTTTAAGTACACACATCTACACATTAAAATATATATATATAAAATTATAATGGCCACATGCAATAGCTTAGAGGCTAAAGTCCTCAGCTTCAACTCACCGGGTTCCCATACAGGAGCCGATTTTAATTCTGGCAGCCCTGCTTCCCATTCAGCTCTCTGCTTGTGCCCTGGGAAAGCAGTTGAGGACTGCCCAAAGCCTTGGGACCCTGCACAAGCATGAGAGACCCAGAAGAGCTTCTGGTTCCGGGCTTTGGATCAGCATAGCTCTGGTAGTTGCAGTCACTTGGTGAGTGAATCTTTGGACAGAAGATTTCCCTCTCTGTTTTCCTCCTTTCTGTATAACTGACCTTGCCATAAAAATAAATTAATTAAAAAGAAAAACTAACTATAGCTAAATTGAAGGCTCTTTAAGCTATGTCTTGCACTGTTTCCTGCTCTCTAGCCAACATTCCATGTACATAGTAACATATCTGGTTTTCCTCTTCCTTTTTAATCTTATTATCCCACTTAATATATATTATTCAACATAAGGTATGATTTATATGCATTAAAATAAAGTTTAATGGACTTGCATGTATCTTCATGAAATCCATATCCAAGTCAAGATTCAGAATATTTCCACCAGAAATTTCCCAGTACTCCTTTTCAATCAACACCAACCCCATAGGCAAATGTTGTTCTGATTTTTATCAAGATAGATTAGTTTTGCCTTTCCTTGTATTCCGTGAAAATGAATCATCCTTAATGTAGCCCATTAGTTTTGCTTTTTAACTAAATGCAATGTTTGCAGAATTCATCCACATTTTTTTATGTCAATGGTTTGTATGTTTTACTTTTGAGTAATTCCTGGTGATCTGAATGTACCACAATTGGCTTTTTCAGTCTACTGTTGATGAATGTTTGGATTGCTTCCAGTTTGAGGCTCTTATGAAAACATTATTTTTAAAAAGATTCATTTATTGTGGCAAGTTAGATTTAGAGAGAGAGAGTTGCTGATCTACTGCTGGAATGGCCACAATAGCTGGAGCTGGGCAAGGCTGGA